TCACCTCTGATCTGAGCAACTCTCCCACTGCCTCCATTTATTCTGTAACGTTTGTGATGTATCTCCACAAATAACACAAACTGAAGGAGTTCTGCTATGTTGTGGAGCTGCTAACAGCTAGTTTCCACTAGTCAAGACACATTCTGCAATCTCTGGTCGTGAGTCAAGATGGATGAGTCCATGAACGCTAATTTTCAGTGTGGCTTTTTCTGACCCGAGTGTTTTAACTTCTATTTTCAATTGGTGGCTAATGCAGGAAATGCGGGTAGAAGACTATTTTGACGTCCAGCCTGCATGTGAATCTCAGAGTGGCTGATCATATTTCAAAAATAACAAGTTCATTTAATCTGCTCTTTAATTTCCAGGCAATAATTCAAGAAACGCCACAGTGTGTGTGAGAAATAATGACTGAATGATCAATTTTATTCAGTCAGTTATCTTAAGACATTGTGTACAATAACATGTCATACAAATAGATACAAATACCATTTCTCACTAACATATACATTCATTTGTACTGTATATGGTGTCTATTTGGTATCTCATGACTGAATAGGTTTAGGCAGAAGCAATAGCTTATATAATTGCCTAACCTACTTACAAAACAATTTTTCAATTTCCCGCAATGAACCAACAACCCAAATAAAAATAAAACACAAATCCATCCATCAACATCAAATTAATACTCTTCAAAAATATTTTTACTGATAAGTTTTTTAAGAACTGAAAGAGAAGTTGCTAATTTTAATTCTATTTTAGCCTCATTCCAAAATTTTACTCCCATTACAGAGATGCATCTCCTTTTCATGCCCTTTTTGGCTTTTTGTAGAACAAACATGCATACACCTCTTAAATCCTATTTACTTTCTCTCTTTGCAAAAAAAATTTGTATATTTTCTGGCAGAGCCATTAATTTTACTCTAAACATAAATTGCATTATTTTATAATAATATAGATCTATAATAATAATATAGATGTAATCTAAACTCTTGTTTCAGTTCTCGGTCTTTGTGCTGCCCTCTCTCCTCACCCTGAGCTCTAAAGCATCCTTCTTCCTGCAGGCAGAGGTGAAGCCGAGAGGTGGCACTCAGATGAGCTTCCTGTTAGGTTCTCAGAGAGAGAAATGAGAAATAGAAAATTGGGAAGAGAAGGACAAAAGCAGGTAGGTGAGCTGCTGGGCAGCGGGTCCTCTCTCCTGCCAACCTTCCTCCTTCCTCATCTTCCCTCCAGCCTAAAAGTCTTGGCATCCAATGAGTCTCACCCCCTCTTCCCCCTCTCCTATCACCACCCCCCACCTGTTCAGAACCACCGTACAGTCAGTGGCGCTCAGCGTGTTGTGAACACACAGCAGCGGCCCTGCGGCCCCTCTTCCTGGACCTCAGTGTCAGGAGCCAAGCTGGGAAGGAGAGAGAGAGAGCAAACATGAGAAGGAGGGAAAGAGAACGGAGAGCAGCTAAATGCAGAATAATTATACCCGGTGGGTGATACGTGCGCCGTTGTTACAAGGGCTGCGTGGTTGGGACTGGGAGAGAGATCGTCATCGGGTCGAGCTTTGCACGGCCAGTGGGCACGTTTGGCGAGCCACACTCACGGTAGTCCTGCTGCACCGCTGATGGTGTTAGTGCTGCAGGTGATCCCGGATGCTGCAGAGGATGGAGTCACGGGGTGAAACGCCGCAGCTTCTCACATAGACATTTAAATCAAGATTCAGGAGTGATAGCATGCTAAAAGTCTGCACCTCAAAGTCTTAATTAATAATAAAATAATTACATTTTTAATTTAAAATGCTAATATTTCTCTTGAAAGAACAGATACCTCAAGTTTAATAACATTTTCAAAAATTGCATCTTTCTAATTTACTTTAACTAAAATTAGTCAAACGAACTCTTCATATATAAAGTATATTTATATTTTAATCTATTTTAAATACTTAATAATGTTTGTGCTATTTTCAGTCTTAAAATAAGTTTCTACTATTTATGTGATTTTACAGAATTACAAAATACACCAGTGAACACAATGAATTAGTTAATTATGTTGATTTTTAATTTTTTCTAAATTATTAACAGTTTTATGAAAATTCTATTAAAATACAAATTAAATCAATAAATTCTCTTCTTGCAGAAACTGAACAAAATGAAATTGAGTTTTTGTCATAAAATTTCAAATAAAGAGCAGAACAAAAATAAAACCGCAACTGGAAATTACAACGCCGCCATAATAAATGCTGACATTTATTGCAGCTTTTAAGGTATTAAGGTAGCGCGACTCGGGTTGCGAATGACCACAGTCACCAATTCTTGTCTCAGAATTGTGTGTACTGAAACTCTAATTTCCCTCTGGGATTAATAAAGTATCTTTGAATTTGAATTTTAAAAGACTAGCTTAGAAAACAGCTTTTCCTTTTTCTGACAGCACTGGAGAACATCCCAGAGAGCCTGTTTGCAGCGTGCATGGGTGTCAAATAATAAAACAGAATTCACTTAATAGACTCCAGTAAAACGTGATCTGCCATCGTGCATCGAGCTCGTGCAAACTGCAGCATGCCTGCACATATGCAGAGGGACAGATTGGTCCTTGTTGGGGTTGATGTTGGCTTGGCTTTTGGAATTCTTTAATGCTGCAACTTTCACCTTTAAATGAGTCATTTTAATCTCCATCTTCCTCTCATTTTAAAAAGAAATGTAACCTTTTTGTTGTGTTTAATATACAGTTTTTATTGCAGGTATTCATTCAAAATCCTAAATCAATACTTTCTCTGTTAATTTCTTAAAGAGCAAGTTCACCGAGAAACCATTTTTACTTGTTATTTTTGAAATACGATCGATCGCTCTGAGTTTAACATGCATGCTGGTTGTGAAAATACCAAATTTCCTGCATTTACTGCCAAAATAAAATAGACAAGGAAACATTCGGATTAGAAAAAGCAACACAGATCTATGTCATACGGAAAATTAGCATTCCTGGATTCACCCATCTTGGCTAGCGACGGGGAAGCCTGTGTTGATTTTTGCATCCAGGAAAGTGCAGAGCATACCTCAGCTGGCAGAGGCTTACAGTTAGCATTAGCAAATCCACCACACTGCAGAACACCTCCAGGCTTGTGTTATTTATGGAGATAAAACATCAACGTTGCAAAGTAAGCTGAGTCAGTGGTAGAGTCACGCTTCTGTTAGCCAATAAGAGGTGAGATGTCCTTATATCAGGAAGTAAGACTCCAGGTTGTTGTTGAGTTTTGCAGCCAGGAGAGCGCCTGAGATCGACTCACACGACATTCATTTAAATCATAAACCACAGCAGATGTGCTGAAAACATTTGCACTTTAAACTTTAAATAAGTTTTTTATAATGCTCATTGTTTCAGGACTGATACTGTGCATGCTGCAACTGCTCTGAAGCATTTAGATTTATGCTTAAAATGTAATAAACAAAAAGACTATGTGTAGATATTTATTAGATCGTTGTAAAATGCTTTCATCTGTATAATAAACAACGTCTTTGGCATAAAAATGATAATCAGCTGTGTTTAACTAGCCTCTCGAGCAGTCTCAGAGCTGAGTTGAATGTTTTTAATTTCACCCTGAAGAGTCATGAATACTGCGATGGACTGGCTCTCTGTCCCGGGTGTACCCCGCCTGATTGCCCCCGCGACCCTACGTGGACAGCAATGGATGGATGGATGGATGGATGAATGGATGGATGGATGGAGTCATGAATAAACAGAACAACAGGATTCCTGTCAGAGAGGCCCTTGCTGGTTCTGACATGTCTTCTTGTCAGAGATCTTCTCATGTTCTTCAAACCAACCTGAGGCGGCGACGAACAACTCGTTTTCGTCCCTCGGGTCTTGATCAATCACTTAATCTCTTTAATAGGCCCCAATCAAAACTAATGGTGCATGTAATAAGTGTTTAACTAAACAAATGTGGACAGTGGTGGTGGTGATGGGGGGACTCATAATGATTCCCTCCTAACTGAGCATGACAGTTCAGATGAATTTGGGGCTTTCAAGCTAACTTTTGACAACTAATATGCATCGGTGGCCCCAGACAACGCCTCTTCTCACGCCGACTGTATAAATTTGCTCTTGCCGAAAGTGCAATGTTAATAAATACATTTATGCCAATATATTTGCATGTCATAAAACGCAATAGTAGTGTTTGCTAAACCAGATTAACAACACTTTATTTCCTTATTCTCACCTCCTGACTTTGAAAGCTGGTGGATTTAGTGCCATCTTGTGGTGACATCATTTTTAAACAAAGAAACAAGAAAATTATCATTAAAATGTATCTGATAGGATGCTTACTGGTGTTCTCATGTGGTAAACTCCTACAGTAACTCTTTACTGTTTGCCACCGGACTCATCAACAGAGCTTCTTCTGTCTTTTGCCTTGGGACCTGGCCAGTGCAAACGCACATTGGAATTATTTGCCCCCTTTTATTTTAACTTGTTTTATTAAGAACTGTTTGCACCAAAATGCTAAAACAAATTTCCTGCACCTAATTCGCTTGAGGAAAACCAAAGGACTGATCTTGTACCCTTGTTATGCCAGGAATCATTTAGAGATTAGACGCTGAAATAGAGGATAGAGACATTAGAAGTGCGCAGGAAAAATATTATATGAAGTGTAGTTTCTTAATAAAACAATAAGCAGTTTCATTTACATTGAGCTCGCTGCATACCTTCTGATTCACAATACTCGCAGAGCTCCATCAAAGAGCAACACTGCCATCTAACGGTAATACAAAAAAATTCAAGCAAGGTGGGCTGTAACATCTGGGTGAGCAAATGTTTTACAGTTTTACAGTCAGTGGTAGTTTTTTTATAGTTTCATAACGAAGCTAACGTCTCAATCATCGACAAAATAGAATAAGTGGTCAAAAAAATCGCCTAATGCGAACAACCAATCACGAAAAGAACCGTGACATTGAATGATACCCCCTTTTTAAAACAATTTTGGTTGTGTCCACTGTCACATGACCGGAAGTTTTAATAAATGTTTACAAGTCGAGTCAGCTGACTTCCGTTCTCCTGATTTCATGGTCTCATATTTTGGTGCTGCTGTTGACTTTTTTTCTCTCTCTACTATAAAAAACACATACATGAATTACGTTACGTCGTCTTAATCAGTTGTCAACCTTTTTTTCTTAGCCTTGTTTTAGCACAGTCTGATTTAGAGCCGTTAACAGCTAGCATGTTTAGCTAACAAGCTTCGCCACAACGGTGTATTTACATTAGCAGTAGCAACATTCATCAGAGTGTAATCATGGACAAGATTGTCAAAGGTGAGTGACATATTTTTATAATCTTACATCCTTTCTGGTTTGGTTTTTATGAGCTGAATTGTGTGTCCTGTAGATGTGGGTGATATCCAGTCCCGAATGTTCGACCACAGACCTGTCATCGGTGCAGAAATCCGATATTTTATCAGAGAGTTTGAGGTATTTCTGCTCCACAAAGTCCGATTAAAGCATCCGGGATGTCATTTTAGGTGTCTGTTTAAAGGCTCGGATGTGCAGCTCTTGTTGAATAGGCATTTGTTGACATCGGAGGGCTAATCTGTGTCAGAATCCAGCAGGATTAACAGAATAATTAAATGCTACTCATCTACAATATGGAGGACGCATCCTGCCAAATGAATCAATCAATGATAAAATAAATTTTAAAATAATAAGGAAATATATAAATATAGCACGAAATAAAATTGTAAATAAAAATGGAAATAATTTTTTAATAAATGTTGAAATAAATGATTAATCCGTTTATTTCCAAAAATGTTTATTCATTTACGTTTGATTTTATGTTGTGATGTTTTTATTTATATATCTTCTCATTTATTCAGTCACTTTGTCATTTATATATTTATTTAGACAGGATGAGTCATCCGTACTGCAGCAGGTCTCTTTGGAGGATGTTATGTAGGAGCAAGGATTATATTTTATATTGTTTGACTGTCATCAGTAACCAAGTTTAAGAAGAATATGTGGGGGGGGGGGGGGGGGGGGGGAAGACATATTTTATTGAATAAAACTTGTGTTGCATATTAAACATATTCACCTTTATGGCAACCAACGTTTAGTAAAATAAACTGATACATTTCAACCAAATCATTGGTATCTAGTTCTAAGGATCTACCAGGCAGTCAAGGACCTCTTGTAATAATTTAGATAAAAAGTAATTATTTCCACCATACACAGTTTTACAAATCTCTACACATTTTATTTTCTCTGCTGAGGAAAAATAAAGTGTTTGCTCTGTCCTTGTTTAGGAGAAACGGAGCTTCAGGGAGAGCCGACTGCTGGAGAACCTTAATAAAACGGTGCAGGAGGCTAATGAGCAAATGTTGCCCGCAGATGTGGAAGAAACAAACCGTCAGCTGGCCGACATCATGAAACGATGTGAGTCACTTCATTCATATTCACAAAAAATGCTGTTTTCTGTCATTTTCTAGCTTTAAAATGAACTCCAGCTATGAGGGCGTGTGTGCCCTAATAAGCCACAAGTTTTCTGTCGTACCAAACTATGTTGTTAGAAATGCACAAAATATTACTGTTTATTTATAAATCTATAATATTTAGTACATTTTTGGACATACGTAGGACGCCATGTTTTCCGCGCGCAATGCACTCTGTGGGCGATGACGTATATTGGTTGCACTTGGAAGAATAACTATTGACGCTAGTGTTTGTTTACGCGCTCACCGTATTAATAATGAAGTAAAATGCCGCATTGTGCTGCTTTTGGATGTAATTAGTCAGAGGGCAACAAGGGGAGTGATGTGAGTTTACAGCTTTCCCTCTGGCAAGAAGAGGAGAAAGCAGTGGGAAAAGGCCTGTGGATGGACACAACTTCCTAAAGACCCTCGCCTGTGTTCCCAACATTTTTCTCCTGATGCGTTTGAGGCTTATAGTCGACCACAACTTCTTAAAGAGTTCACCAGAGCGGCTGGATGGAAACTAAATGCTTTAGGGACCATTTTCCCACACAAGGAGCCTAAACGCCCTCTGAGAGACAAGAGACGCTGGACGCTCTCCTGAGCCGACAACCCGCTCCTGCACCTGCCGCTTCTGAACGTGAAGGTGTCTTGGTTGATCTATGACGCACACGACAGCTCTGGATGCTAAAATTCTCCTAAATCATTTATAATTGAATATGTTCGATCACACGATAGCTTACCGTTAACCTCTGCTGACAAAAAGTGAGCACTCTCCCCCTCGGTTACCATGGAGACACATTTGCCGCACACGCACCACCGGTTTTGTCCTGCTCTCGCTTCATCCCGCCCTTCTTGCTCTTCATGTTAACGCTCGTTTTGTGAAACATGGTCAGTGATGTCATCATTAATGTTTCGGTCTGGTTCAAAGTGAAAAGGCTGAACAGATGACATGTTGGTGTCGCTGAACAGTCGCTACAGGGTCCCAAAGCCTGCCGATGCAACCGAGGTACAACCATATGACGTCACTACCCAGAGTGCATTGCGACGCTAACGACAATGGCGACCTACGAGTTAAACTATTTTTACAAATGTTATTAAAATGAAGACATTAAGAAGGTTTTTAACACCATTTTAATGTAACTGACACTAACATTTATCTTTTAGGAACCACAGAGTTTTGTAACATGGGTTCCTTCTAAGAGGGTTTATTAAAATAGATTTGCCAGCCTTAAAACATTGACGACCAAAAGCCTGAAGTTCTCGTCTGATCCACAGTAGATGCAGCTAATCACATGGCAGAAAGAGTCCAGCAGAGGGAGCTAGAGACTCAACAGGTAAAAATAATAAAATACTCAAAAACCTGTTTTATTTTGTGACGTCCTTCCGTGTTCTCACATTTCCAAAGGTTTAAACGTTTTACCAGCTAGTTCTCGTCGTCCTCTCTTCCCCTCAGGGCGCCCAGCTGCAGGCAAACATGGAGAAACTAAAGGAGGACTGGGCCGAGTTTCTGAAGGAGCAGCAAGAATTAAAGGAGGAGGTGGATGAGGAGCACGCTAAGGCTGTTGGAGAACTCAGCACTCGATTTAGTGAAAAGAAGAAGGAGTTGGCTAAGCTTTCAATCAGCTGATCAGTTTAATGTTTGTAAAGCTGCAGGTGATCTCATGTTCTCCCTATGCAAACAATAAAAATAGTTCTGTCAGCATTTTTAATACAGAAAGACTGGGAAAAAAACTGGAACAAGCTTTTTAAGTTATCTATGTTTAAAGTACGTGTGCATGAAGGCCTTTGGTAATAAACTGAAATTAGGTTTAATAAAGCTCATCTGTGCACATGTGCTGTTTTAAGGGCTCGATACACGGGAGGCGACGTCGCCTCCATTCATTTTCATTGAGACATGCGCGACAAAGTGATAATCGCGGGTCTCCCTCCTACTAAGCGAAACGCGAAAAACGTGCGTGTGAAAATTTGCGCTCGTGCACGTGTCGTGCACAAACGACCCAGCGACGCGATCCCAGAAAGTTGAATTTTTTTTTTTATTGAACTTTTTCATTTATAAACAACATGGCATAAATTCCTTTGTTTTACATTACCCAGGATCAGGTGCAAAAAAACAAAAGAGACTTTGCATAGAAAGCAAGAATATTTGTGAAGGAAACAAACAAACAAACAAAAAAATAAAAAATATTAAATTAACAAAAGAGACAAAGAGCTAGGGCTTTGTTTTCAAATCATACTTTTCAAAAAGATTAAGGAGTTTCATTGCATGTTTACTTTTCATAAATTCAAGGGCTTTGGAGAAAGAAAGGCACTCGTTATGAAATGCATAGAATCTAGGCTTCACATTTCCATATCTACATATGTGAATGTAAAATTTAGCTACAATGATCATGTTATTTACCAGAAAGTCCCATTCAGTGTTATCTAATATGGCTCCGTAAATGACATCGTTCTCAGAAAAGGGTTCAATACATATCTTTGTGTATAGCCAGTCATGGATATCAGTCCAGAGCTTCAGAGTAAATGCATTGAAAAAATAAATGAACAGAGGTTTCTATATCATCACAAAATACACACTTATTTGTTTCAAAACCACGTCTCTGTCGTAAGAATTCCCCAGATGGGTATATGTCATTTGAAACTCTATAATGGATTTCTTTGGCTTTTGGAGTTATAGGAAATTTGAGATATTTAGAACGTAATGAGTATATAATATCTATCCGGTTCATGGGTCATCACACGCCCATCTTCATCAGTTAAATGAATTAGGGACCAAACGCCTTAGTCCATCCAGTCCTTCTTATATAATGACTTATTTTTAATTGTAATATATCTATTGTTCCAAATCGGTGTGTTGTGTGGAGTGAAATTATGATTGTATAAAAGTTTCCAATATAGAAGGACTTGTTGATGGAACCGGGATAATTTGATCGGAAGTTTTTTAATATTGAAATCGCATTTTAACAAAAGGTCAATGCCTCCAAACCTTTTGAAGATTTCCCAGAAAGTTGAAATATTTTCAACTTTTCATCGCTGTCACTCAGACGAGGACCAATCAACGGAGGTTTCATTCACTGACCAATGAGCGGACAGGATGCTCCGTACACCTCCGAGCAAACATGGAGAAGTTTTTTTTTTTTGTACAAATTAACAAATACATCGCTTATCTTACCAATCAACAAGATATGAATAAGTATAGGTGGTAATAGTACATCAAATGACCTTCCATATAAAGTGACAGAAAAAAAAAGAAAACGAAGCAAAAACAGAAGTACGCACATTATACAGTCTAGCTACTTCAGTTGAAAAGCAGCATCAAAAATTCAAGTAAGATGTGAGCTTTATTTAATTTACACTTATGAAGCCTTCAATAGAAGGACTTCATTTTTAAAACCAGCAAAAATCGGAGTAATTTTTAAGAAGCAACATTTATGAATGAAAAGTTTTGCAACTATAAATAAGTTGTTAATCCCAAATTCTATGTTCTTATTTTCTGTTTGTAGGCCAAATCTAATGACTTGAAAGGTTAGAGAAGAGCAGTCAATATTTTTAGAGGTTAACCAGTACTGAAAATCATCCCAAAAAGATCTGGAACTGTCACGTGAATAAAAAAGGTGCTCTGCAGTCTCAATATCAGTGTTGCAAAAAGTGCATTTGTCCGTATCCATATTGAATTTCTTGTGAAGGAAGTCCTTGGACGGGTATATGGCATTTAAAATTTTAAAGTGATTTTCTTTTGCTTTTGGTGGAATTGGAAAAGAAAGATACTTACTCAAAAACCTAGAATTATAATCTTTAAACAAATATTTTCTTTTTAATTGAGAAGGAAAACGTTGTTTGGTTAGAATTGTTTCCTTTAAATTGAAGATCATCAATAATTAAGGACGGTTCACGAATTATAGAGGAAGAACAGGTTAAACTGGCTTTAGCCATCTGAATCATTGCAGGGGGAATGGCTTTCACAACTTTAATGAATTTACTTTGAGTACATGATACGCCATAATTATCTATGAATTTATTATACGATAATACATTGCCATCATTGTCTACCAGGTGTAAAACGGTCCAAAGTCCATGATCCATCCAATCCTCATAAAAAATGGATTTTCTTTTTATCAATATACATCTGTTGTTCCAAATTGAATTTGTATGTGGAGGAAAATTATGCTTGTAAATAATTTTCCAGTACTGGAGAACCTGTTTGTGAAAATTAGATAATTTAATAGGTAATTTGGAAATTTCAAAGTCACACTTTCAGAGAAATTCAATGCCACCAAGCTTCTCGAAAATTATTTTAGGGAAATAAAACCAAATACTGTTTGAGTTATTTTCTCTTTGTAAGCAGCTGATTAGGATCTTTTTAGATTTCTGGGTAACATGCTCAAAATTTAGATTGTCTCTATTATTTGTATCCTTTGAGATTATAATACCCAAATATTTAATTTCAGTTTTAATAGCTATGTTAAGAGAGACACTGAGTTCACAATCATGAATATTTCATCATTCACATTTTCTGATATTCATTTACAAACCAGAGGCCTTTGTAAATAGTGACATGTCATTTAGTGCGAGAGGAACCTGTGACGTGTTCTTTAAAAATTGTGTAGTATCATCTGCTAATTGACTTATGATCAATGGGGCTCCCATCAAGTTCAGTGGTTGAATATTTAGATTGTGTTTCATGAAAATAGCTAAAAGTTCCGTTACAATAATGAAAAGTAACGGAGAAGCTGGACACCCCTGACGGAGAAGTTATTTTATTTATATATCAGAAGTATGATTTCACATAACTCTAGCAGCACCTTGTGAAACATCATATCTACCGCTTTTTAAACTCTGAACCGCTTAAATAGCCTTAATTCCCTCCAACCTGACACAGCCAAACAAAACAACGGAAGTTTCCATTTCGCCATGGAACAGAACGCTTTGCTGCTGGCCGCTGCCGCGGGTCGCCTCCCGTGTGTCGGGTAATAAAAGCGACGAATTTGGCTGATCGCGGTCGTTTGTCGCCTCCTGTGTGTCTAGCCCATTATGGGACAGGAACCATCATAAGTGCAGCAACTGATGTAAATGATGAAATTCTGCTGGTAAAAGAAGAAGTGATGCAAGTTTCTGCTTTGTTGAAACTTGTCTGCATCAGATTTTGAAACATGCTGGTTTTTCATCCGGACTTTTGACACATTGGTTGTTTTTTTCTATGAAGGTAAGACAACTTCTTGTGCAAGTCACCATGATCTCCAAAATCATTGTTTTGATGTTGTAGATGATGTAACAAGAGGCCTAACCGTGTGACCTGAGGATGCAGGTTCTGTCCGACATAAACGACGTCCCTGAACACGAGTTATTTCTTCTTTACTTGAGCGTAGAGGTCCTCTGCCCTGTCGGCAGCCTGTGCCGAGTGGCTTTCTGGTTTAGAGACTGCAACCTGTGCGTACACCACCGTCTCCTGCTGTTCTCTGTCCTGCTCCGAGACGCTGCTCTGAGACGCTTTGGGTCTTCTCTTGAACATCACACGTTCATAATGGAGTTCTTCTGCTTTATTGGCTGTTGTTGGAGCAGAAACGTCCTCGTATATGTCACCCTGTGGATAACGGATGATTTTAGTGATCTGGTCTCAGATGTACAGATGAAAAGTGAAATGTTTACCCACCTGAGTTTGTCGTTTAGTTTGACGTTTGAACTTAAAGCAGCTGGAAGACATTAGAGAGCTGTCAGATTAAATCTACTGAGTTTCACCGCTCACATGAAGGCTGTAACTAGATCAGCGTTTTATCATCTTCATCAGATAACACCACCTCGGCTTGTATACATGTAGCCATTCTTTTTAATCCAGTCAATCCAGAGCATGCACCTGGTGACTACCCTCCACCGTTTTTAAATCTTAAATCCTGTGTATCCAGTCTGGGAGTGAAACTTGACTCTGATCTGTTAATGAGTTCACAAATTAACTCTACAGTCCGGTCCTGCTGTCTTCCAACTACGTCGCATCTCGCGCTTAAAGTCAATAGTCAAACGACCTCAGCTGGAGTCTGTTGTTCACGCCTTTGCAACTACACAAAATGCGGCGGCTAGGTTCCTGACAAACACCTCGAGATGCTGTCACATTTCCGTCCTTGCAGGCTTGCGCTGGCTGCCTGTTAAATACTGCATCCAATTTAAGGTTTTGACCTTTGTCTACAACATTGTGAATGGTCAAGCCCCGGCTTATCTTTCAGGACTGATAAAGCCTTATGCTCCAACCAGGAACCTGAGATCTGCAGATCATTTGCTTTTGTGCGTCCTGAAAATGAGGTATAAATCTCGTGGAGATCTCGCGGGCCTTTGCGTTCACTGCTCCTAAACTCTGGAACGCTCTCCCCCTTAGTGTTGGACAGGCCCCAGAACTGGGCCGATTTAAGTCGGTACTGAAGGCCTTCTTCTATCATTTAGCTTTTATTCAATTACAGTGATCCCTCGTTTATCGCGGTAGATGCGTTCCAGACCTGGCCGCGATAGGTGAAAATCCGCGAAATAGGGACACCATATTTACAGTATTTATTTAACAGGTACGTATTCAGTATTCAGACTTTTAAAACCCTCCCTTTACATAGTACTGTATTTTTACTTGGTTTTTTTTATAGTTTTATTACAAAAAGTGCATTTTATGATGAAATTGATGAAAAAAGCAGGAATTTCTTGATATTTCGCATAGAAAAATACCGCGAATCGGCGAATTTCCCGTGAATAAGGCTCCAAAGAAAAAATCTGCGAAGTCGTGAATCCGCGATAAACGAACCGCGAAGTAGCGAGGCATCACTGTATCTAGTTTTTAGTGTTTTTACGTTTTGTTGTGGCTCTGTATTTTATTGTTGTATGTTTCTTTTACTATTTTTTAGATATTACCTCTTACCTCCTACAAGACTTTTATCTGTTTTTATCTTGGGGCTTGTCCTTTTTACTGTACAGCACTTTGGTCAGCTGTCATGCTGTTTTTAAATGTGCTATATAAATAAACATGGTATGGTATGGTATGGTATGGTATGGTATGGTATGTAGCCGGGTCTTGCTTCTCCAGCAGCTGCTCTTTTTTGCTCATGATAGTTGTTTTTATTCCATTTTCCCAATTTGTGACATCACAAATGGAGACTTTTTGAAACGGCTCGTTTTCGGTTCATAAATCCTAAAACCAAAATGACAACGAGTGGATGGTCTGGCTGGTTTATTTTTTACATGTGGAGTGTTTATAGAGGCAGCAGAGACCCACTTGGCAGCACATAGAGATGCATGATGTCATATTTAATATCTGAGACTTACCACGCACAAACAACCAGGCAGATGACCACGAGGACAATGATTCCTGCTACAGCAGGCAGCCAGGTTAGAAATGAACCTCAGAAAAAGAAGAGCAGAACTAAAATAGCTGAAGCAGAAGTTTGATTGTTTTACATCAAAAGAAGAATTACAAACTTACTTCCAACACTAATTTTGACAGTTGATGATGTCTGATTCCCCAGATCGTTTGCAGCCACACAGTAAAACTCTCCTCCCTCTGTGACGTTGAAGCGGTGAACCTGCCCCTCAGACACGCTAACAGGTCCCTCTGAGCTGATCCTGAACCAGCTGAAGCCGCTGACGGGAGGCTTGGCTCTGCTGGAGCAGCTCAGTGTCACCCAGCTACCTAATGACACCGCACCTGATGGACTGATGGAAGCTGAGGTGTCTTTAGGAGCATCTGAGGAAAATGTGACTCACGTTAACTTTATTGATCAGAAATAGCTGAACCACGATGAGCAGACAGGATCACTCACAGAAAACTTTAAGAGTCGCGTTTGCATCTGCTTTCCTGAGATCTGTTCCTCCGTTCACAGGATACGAGACAGAACACGTGAAGCTGTATCCATCATGCGTGTCTGACAGAGTGATGTTCTCCTGGAATTTAGTTGTCATGGTTCCATCTGCGTTTCCCTCTGTTTGTGTGTGAGAGTCTCTTCGGAGAGTCCAGGTGAGTTTAGGAGGTGAGTGCGGACACGGAGTCAAAGCCGAGCAGGTTATGGAGACAGACTCCTTCTCCTTCAGGTCCTTCAGTCCACCTGAGATGTTGATCCTGGGACTCCAGGCAGAATCTGGGATTTCATATCAGACAGAAACGAGTTCACAAGTCAAAGAAATCACCTGTCATCGCTTCCGTTCAGCTTTAGAAAATTAACTGGGGATCTGTTATTTTTCATTGATACATTTTTAATAAAGGACTAAAAATAAGGTATGTTGAGTTGTTTAGCCCTTGTGTTGTGTTAGAAAGCTGTTTACACCTAGCGGGTCCATTTGGACCCGTGATTTAAAAAATGCTTAAAAATGCTTAAAATCACCAGTCTTCTTCAAATGTTGTTTTTCAGCTAATTGCTGGCTTAGTATGTGTTCATATGAATGGAAGCAGTGTGTGAATAGTTTTTTAGTTGGCTCCACAGACACACTATTTTAAAATATACCACTTGTTTTTGATTGCAAAAACTGTTGAAATTCACTAAATATGTTTCTTTTTCTTATAGAATTAGTAATAATAAACTATAAATGTGTTATAAACAATTATTAGAGTACACCTACCCAAAAAATTATAATTTTTTATTATTATTTAAAAGTATTAACAACAGTGACATCTTTGGTGTTTTGGGTCAAAACGGACCCGCATGGATTAATGGTCGGATAAAGTCAACAAGTCATTTTTTTTCTCCATAAAACCAACTTTTATTTAACCATTAAATGAACAATAATAAACAACACTGTGTGTGTGGTTGTGCACGCACATGCACCTGCATTGACCATAAACTTAAAGAGCAAGTCACCCCCAAATCAACTTTTTTGGCTGATAAACTATATAAATGTGTGTCTAATCGTGCTGCAGACACGTGTCGTCAATAATTTGGCACTTCAGTGCATCTTAGTTAAAATTTAAATATTCTGCCTAAAACTGTCAGTGTTGTGCCGTTGTCAGGTAAAAACTCTGCACTGTATTAGAATTTAAATCTGCCACCGCTATTGGCTAAGAGGTATGCTATGATGTAAACTGGTACATTATGATGTCACAATGCCGTTGTGAGCCTGTGTGTGTATTGGTTAGTGGCTCCGCCCTCTCTGTCTGCCAGGCAACAGCATTTGTTGCATTTTTCAAACATGAAGAGGGAGTTAAGTAAGTTTCTTGTAGGGGGTGACTTACTCTTTAACATTGAAAATAATATGGTGTTAGCGCAGGAATGTTGTTCTGAATTAACCATAATCGGTGTGTGTGTGTGTGTGCGTGCGTGCGTGCGCGTGCGTGCGTGCGTGCGCGTGCGTGCGTGCGTGCGTGCGTGCGTGCGTGAGTGAGTGAGTGAGTGAGAGAGTGTGTGAGATGTTGGCCATAACTGTGCACACTGGGCCATAATAGATCATCAGAGTAACCCATAGCTTTTAAGTGATGCACACAACAGCCAGTTTTCTCTGCCGGGTCATTTTGGACCCGTAACACCACGGACGTAACTTTTATTTTTTTTAAACCTTTAGAATTTACTAAAATTGTGAAAATGGATTTTGCTGCATTTAGATAGGTGTGTCTGAGGATTAGATGAAGCCTTGTTCAAGGACAAAAAAGGAAAGTGTACTTTTTACAGTTAAACTTGAAAACGGGTCAATTTTGACCCTAACGCAACAGAAGGGTTAAAGCAGAAATATGTTCCCAGATGGTCTCTACTGGGAATGAAAGCCTGGGGGGGGGGGCTCTGATACACTTGTTATAGGATCTGGTAGAAGGCCACAGTAGGGTTGGGAGTCTCACGTCCTGATAGTTGGACATCTCGCTTCTGATTGGATAACAGCAACATGGCTCTACCCCTGACTGTTTGCTCTGCAACGTTGGCATGGACATAATTTTCACTTTAGAAGTGGGGGGGACACGGGGTGGGGGTGGGGGTATCTTTACAGTATGTTCTAATCGGAAACAGGCTTCAACACAATCTGTTGTTTTCCGCTTGGTCCTAGAGCTCAACCAGTGTCAATTTAATGTAGCGTAATATTGTTTTTGGATGGTAAAAAGTGCAGGGGTCAAAACTTGACTTTGGAAAAAGTGGGGGGGACATGCCCCGCCCAACCCCCCCCCAATTACGTCCATGAACGTTGATGTTTAATCTCCACAGATAACACAAGCCTGAAGGAGTTCTGCAGTGTGGTGGAGTTGCTAACATTTAGCTTCTACTAGCAGAGACGTTCTCTGCTGTTCCCTGGACGCTAAACCATCAACAGCCTTCCCCTTCGTGAGTCAAGATGGGTGAGTCCACGAATGTGAAGCGACAGTGTGACGTAGATCTGTCAGGATTTTCTAAACCTAGAGTTCCCCTGTTTGTTTTCAATCAGAAGCTAATGCAGGAGATAGGTGTAGGAGACTATTTTCATGTTCGGCCTGCATGAAAAACTCAGAATAACTGATTATAATCAGAAATAATCATTTTTCAGGCTTCCACACCTTTAAGACCCTCACTCTCTTTCTGTGATTAGGGCTGCAGCGTCGGCTTTCCCCGGTCTTGAGCCAAGCTTGGTGAGTTCATAAATGCTAATGATGTAGAACTAACTGACTCGAGCGTTTCCTCAGTGGCTAAATCAGGAAATAGGGCTTGAAGACTATTGTCACACTCTGCTTGCATGTCAAAATCAGAGCGACTGATCATACTTCAGAAGGAATTCTCTCAGCCAACTTGGTCTTTAAGGGCATTCTATCTTATTTTCTGTGAAAAGAATTAGCAAACAAATCCATTATTAGATTCAAGATTTCTAGACAAGCAACTTGTTCTTACATCATAGTCAGAAGAATAAAACAGATTATTAGAGATGTAGAAATAAAAGAGTGACTTCAGAGTGAAGAGCAGAGCAAAACTCACCTTTAACTGTTATACGAAGAGGACTATCACAGGCTGTTGCTCTGGTTTGTTCTTCTTCAAGTCTGAAGAAGTAATTTCCTGAGATGCTCGTGGTTAGGTTATAAAACACGGTGGTGCAGTTTTGCTCAGTCAGGTTTCCAGTAACATTCACTAGTTTCTCTGCATTGCTACTGTCAAAAATGTTGTAATCGCCATTAATCCAGAATCCAGAGGGTTTGCTTTGGGAGGCAGGTGCATCTCTTAAGCTGCACGGGACTAACAAACACGATCCGCTGAGTGCTTCCATCTCCTGTGGTGTAGCAGTGCGGATGGCTGCTGTTACACTTCCACAACGAGCCCAAACACCTGTAAAACCAGACCAGTCAAATTCATGGCTCAAGCTACAGCTGGGCTGATAGAAACGATGAGAACAAATGTCTCACCTGGGAGAAAGAAGACACTCAGTACCAGCGTTGCCACGGCTGCAGACATCAGACAGCTCATCTTCACACTGGAAACAAGATGCAAACAACTGATGGAGCCGAGTCTTGGAATAAATCTAAATGTTAAACAGGAACTAACTGGGTTTATTTTATTTTCAGCTGTAAAGCCACAGATGAGTAAAAACAAACCTTACCAAATGAGGTGCAGCTCTGTGAGAATCATAAAGACACAACTTTGTTATAAGTGTGATGTGATGTAAAAGACTCGACATCCTCATTTTACCTTCTTGAAAAAGGGGCGTGAACCTTTAAAATGCACCACCTGCCTGAGAGGGTGTGTAGAAATGGTCAGGGAAATAACGTAATTGTTTACGTTATGTAAAACCTATTCAAGAGAAACAGTTTGTTATTTTGACATCAGATTAGTAAAAGATGTGTCCACAGCTGCTGGGGTGCACTGACAGAGGCAAGGCCCTCTAGATGAACAGTCTCCAAAATTCTTCTGCAGAATTTGGACAAACTTCCTCTTTTTGGTTTCATGTTGGTCTCAGGTTCAACACATGTTCCATGATCTCGTCAGCACTCAGGATCCTCACTTTTTATTTTTTAATCACAAACAGGGTGGACACACATGTCGGGACCTTTCTGTTGAAAATTATTTTTCCGTATTTGAGTCATGGATGAACAAATGCAAATCTAAAAACTAGGGCCGAGACTTTAACGCGTTAATTATGATTAATTAATTAGAAAAAAATTAGGTGTTAAAAAAATTTACGCATTTAATCACAGCTTGCCTTTCGAGCAAGGCGGAACCTTTGTCATTGCACGATTTCCTCGTAGACCGAATATCACTGACGCACACAACAATGCACAGCGCTAATGGCTACTAAAACGGAATAAAAACAGAAAGAAGTTGCCTTGCTTGGACTGATGCAGGATTTAGGAAACACGTCCGCCTCTTTTCTTAACTTGGAAAAAAAACCTTTCAGACAACTACGGAGTCCGTGTCGCGGACATTTTTCAGAGATCGTCTCTGCTGCGGCTGCCCGGTGGCACCGGAAACTTTACAGAAGTTGCGGTAAGCTATATTTTTTAACATTTACGTAACATCTGTGCAGCGCTGAAAGCACCAGACAGAATAATTCTGTGCCCTAACAGTAGTTTATGAAAGTAGTCAGACAAACGAGAGGCACCTGGCTGCCGCTGGGAGCACGCTCCTGTTCTCACTACTCTGTAAACAATCACAGACAACGTGTCTTAAAGTTGATAACAGAAGTTTAAGTTAAAACAGAAACACTCTAAAAATGTGATTAATTTAGATTAATTAATTAAAAAGCCTCTAATTTATCAGATTAATTTTTTTCATCGAGTCCCGGCCCTAATAAAAACACAACAATCTTTTATTTCTGAGTGGCGACTCTGTTTCCAACTTGTAATATATGAAGTTTGAAATACTTTCTTCATGTCTAACTCGATCAGTGATGAGGTTTGATTTAGCTCAAAACAAGCAGAAACTAAATCAATAAAAGCAGCTATTGGGCTGAACGATCAGGAGAAGACCCCGAGCCTCAGCTCTGCGTGTGACCGGTGCAGCCTTTCTCAAATGGGGGCACGCAGCGTACCCCTGGGGCTGGGGGTACATAAAGAAACTCCAGGGGGTATGTGGGAAAATGTACATTCATTTACAAAATAGAATCCATGCAAAATCTTTTAAAAATAATTATTTAATACATATTTTAGGAAAATATAAGTAAAAGTTCATAAAATGGGTTTTATATTCAGTAGAAGTAGGCTAAATTCATTATCCCAAAATCCCAGGGTCCCCCCCCCCCCCCCCCCCCCCATACCATAATGGTTAACTCAAACCTGTCGTATAACGCCTGGCATCGCCAGTCAGTCATTTGGATCAGTGTTCAACACGTGGTTGAAGTGCAGTAGCAATTGTTTGGAAAACACGGAGGGACAAGCGGTCAAGAAGGCCAAACCAGAGCCGGCAAAATTCCAGCTGTATCTTGAAGATTATGCTTCTATTGGATTTACTTCCATAAACTGCAACCCACCCAAGGCACTGTGCTTTTTCTGTGGGGAGAAATTAGCTAACAGTAGCATGAAGCCAGCACATCTGCAGTGTCATCTTAAGACAAAACATGGATGTCATGTTGGTAAGCCACCGGATTTTTTAAAGAGGAAACTCAAGACAAGATGCGGAAGGCCTCCACAACATCAGCCAAAGCCCTGGAGGCCTCTTATGAGGTATGTTGATGCTGATTGCATTTATGAGCACATACTATTCTGCAAAAGCTTGGAAGGGAAAACAACAGGAGCGGGCATATTTAATGTTGTCAATGCCGCTTTCTGAATATGCTTTAAGCTGGAAGTCCTGCAGCAGCATCTGTACGGACGCGGCAGCATCAATGACGGGCCGTGCGACAGGGCTGATAGCCAAATATTTACACATTTTAGGCACAAAGTACTGAAAATAAACATTGACAGGAAATGAATGGACAGATGCATTTTCTTTAATTTTACATTTTGAGTTTTTATAGAGGCAGTAGAGACCCACATGGCAGGACGCAAGGATGCAAAGGTGAGTTTTGAGGAAAATGTACCTTTTAAGTTACATTATTAATGACAACTGCCCAGTCATCAACAGAAAACACAATTTTCAATAACGTTTTTTTAATATTTCAATCCCTTTACATTTGTTCCCTTTATCTGTACTTTTACCTTAAAAAAAACTCAAGTACTGCTTCCACCGCCGCTCCTCAGGTGGTTCTGGTGCTGTTTGGTTCTGTGTGCATGAAGCAAGGCTGCGTTCACATCTGATACACAGGAACATAATTACAGATCTCTTTAGGGTTTGAGTTTTGAACTAATCAAGCAGTTGTTACCTGCTTTAGGAATCAGCAACTATCACATGGAGTGATGTGTAAATATCACCCTCTAGCGGCTAATATTAACAATTACAAGAAACACAGCAAAATGAGCCCCACTATATTTAAATACATTTAAATAAATAAATCTCAGACTTGGGGGAAGCTGGTATTAAAGTCAGGAGCACTTCAGCACACCCAAAAGCAGACTAGAAACATCTATGAGGAGGCTAAAGACTCCTCTAATTGGCTAAAAAATTATAGTTTAGTATCAACTTTGGCCACTGGAGGGCAGCAACTCCCTTAATCTCTAAATGGTGTTGGAAATCAGAGTGTTTTTCTATTTTTTGTCAGCAGAGGGCGCAAAATCTCCATTCTTTCAAGGAAACAGTACATGTAGAGCAAGTGATTTTACGTAGTAAGTCTTGCAAAAGTCTTTTTAGACAAAGAACAAATAGTAAGCAGGGTCTGGTGGACGATACAAAAGGTGGAGAGCTTTGCAATCTGGATTAGGAAGCCCAAGAATAGGGTGTTCAAATGAACTGTAACTATTAATTGGTAAGGGATAGATTAATAGGTCTGAATGAAAAATGGTTGCTAATCCTCCTCCTCGCCCTGTACTTCGAGCAATATGATGATTAGAAGGAGTCGCCTTGTTTAAACTAACATAGTCCTCTTGCTGCAGCCAGGATTCTGTGAGAGAGAGCAAAGATCTGATTATCACATATCAAGTCATTAACTAACAGCCTGTAGAAAATTAAACCTAATGTTCAATAAACTACATTTAATTTTTCTAGTTTTCTGTTCTGTCCAATTTGTCCTAATTTCTATGAGATTTCCATCATTTTCTCTATTAAGCCTGTTCACCTGCTGAATTATTGATTCACTAAAATAAAGGCAATAAAGTTTATCTTCTACTAAACAGAATAGCTAAGAAATCACAATGTAGGCATAGAAACACTTCTTGGTGTGTGTGTGTGTGTGCGTGCGTGCGGGCATGCGTGTGTGTGTGTGTGTGTCAGTGAGTCATGGTGGATGGCTGCTTATACTGAGCCAGGATTCTCTGGAGGTTTCTTCCTGTTAAAAGGTAGTTTTCCTCTCCACTGTCGCTGCATGCTTGCTTAGTATGAGGATTGCTGTAAAGTCACTGACACTAGTCAGTGACTCGATGCAACCTTTTAAAGGAAACTTTTTACGAATTAACAAAGAACTGAACTCAATTGGGATTGTGAGGTTCTGTGTGTGTGTGTGTGTGTGTGTGTGTGTGTGTGTGTGTGTGTGTGTGTGTGTGTGTGTGTGGTTCCTCACCTCTTCTCCTCAGGTGTGACAGGCAGGCCGCACCAGGTGCCATTGATCAGAGGCAATTAAGGTGGAGCACTTAAAGCTGGCCGGAGGAGGAAAGCAGATGCCAGATGATTAAGCCACACAGCTTGGTAATCAGGTCAGCTCTGTGTTTCCTTGCGCTTCCCAGTGTTTCTCTCACAAGTAATGTTTTGTCTCGCAGTAGTCCCGACCTTCTGAGTTCCCAGGATCTCCCAGCGTCTTCCCTGAACCGTGGTGTCTGCTTCACCCAGTGCTCCTCCTGGCTGCGGTGCTTCAGCCTTTTCATCCACGCCCTGTTGGATCCTCCTCTTCTCCACCTGCCTGTCCACCCTCGAGCCTCCAGCAAAATCTCAACCTCAGCCTGCCACACTCCCACACTGGACCTCACCTCCTCTCCAAACACTCCTCGCCACGCAGACCAGTAAGCTCACCCCCTTCAATTCTTTTATCGGAACAGTCTCCTTGCTCCTCGACTCACCTTCTGTTTCCCCTTCAGAACCGCCTCTGCAAACCCGTCCAGAGTTCCTCCACCATTTTGAGAACCCGCTGAACTTTTCAATAAAACTGTTAAACTTTCTCCTGTGTCCGGGTGTGTTCGCTCCAGAGTCTCCTAGAATCATGACAGGGATGTCTTGCCTTGAAACGACTGTTGTCGTAATTTGGTGCTGTATAAATTTACTGAACTGAATAGAAGAGTAGAGTAAATAGAAGAGAGTAGAATAGAAGATTATGTTGGTACATTTGGTGCAACAACAGCAAAGTAGATTCACAAGAATCTGCTGTGAATTCAAACTCCTGCATCCTAATGCACGAAGGAATGTTATCGCAGGTCCTTCCTCCCAGCCGCTCCCCGCTCTACGACCATCTCTGCTCCCAACAAAACCAGGAAGGTTTCTTATTTTTCTACATTTCGTGATTTGCATAGATCCGTTTACTTGCACTCATTCCTATCTCTTTTGCAGTTTTCCATTCTTGTTTCACTCAATATTCTGATACGAGTTTTTACCAAATATTTCTAAATGTATTAAATGTATTTCTATCTTCTAAATGTGTGTTATGAGTGAGAGTTCAAATATTTTGTAGAAAACTTGCTGAGCTTTATAATCTGTGTTCTTTTACATAGTTTTGCATCACATTTTTGCACTGATAAAAAACACAATCATCTCCTCTCATAATTTAATAGTAAAATGAAAAACCAGACATTAAAAAAGTCTCAAAAGTGGCCTTACAAACCTTTTTATTGTGGATTCAAAGAAAAAAAAAGGTTATTTCACATTACAGCTCATGTGGATTTTGATTTATTCTATGTCCTAATATAATATTTACAGTTGTAATGGAAATAATTGTAAATCAGCATAGACAATAAAGACTGATAATTAGGGCCGTGACTCGATTAAAAAATTAATCTAATTAATTACAGGCTTGTAATTAATTAATCTAAATTAATTGCATTTTTAGAGTGTTTGTTTTAACTTAAACTTCTGTTTTCAACTTTAAGACACATTGTTTGTGATTGTTTACAGAGTAGTGAGAACAGGAGCGTTCTCCCAGCGGCAGCCAGGTGCCTCTCGTTTGTCTGACTACTTTCATAAACTACTGTTAGGGCAAAGAATTATTCTGTCTGGTGCTTTCAGCGCTGCACAGATGTTACGTAAATGTTAAAATATACAGTAGATAACCGCAACTTTTGTAAAGGTTCCGGTGCCACCGGGCAGCTGCAGCAGAGACGATCTCAGAAAAATGTCTGCGACACGGACTCCGTTGTTGTCTGGAAGTTTTTTTTTTTTCCAAGTTAAGAAAAGAGGCGGACGTGTTTCCTAAATCCTGCATCAGTCCAAGCAAGGCAACTTCTTTCTGTTTTTATTCTGTTTTAGTAGCCATTAGCGCTGTGCATTGTTGTGTGCGTCAGTCATATTCGGTCTACAAATAAATCGTGCAATGACAAAGGTTCCGCCTTGCTCGAAATGCAAGCTGGGATTAAATGCGTTAATTCTTTTAAATGCGTCATTTCTTTTTCTAATTAATTAATCCATTAACCCGTTAAAAGTCTCAGCCCTAATAATAATGTAGAATGAGATTTTTACGCAGAGATTATTCACACATTTTAATTTACATCATTAAGTCATGAGTCAAAGTTAAAGCTGGGAGAACATCTGAGCAGCAGCATCAACATTTACAGGCTCCTTCGGTGGTTCTTTAACAACCTGAAGAAGAAAAAACATGTTAGTTGTGTGACTAAAGTCTAGATGAGTTTGCAATGAGTTTCCTTCCTCCTCCACCTGAGTTTGCTTCTTTGTTTCAGGAGCGACAGACTTGGAAACGCTCTTCACGTCTCGCTGGACTTTGCTGAACATCTTGTTTAAATGTTCTACTTTCTCGCTTTTCACCGCATTTATCTGTAAGGAAAAAAAATGATGCTAAAGTGAGTGAAAACGGACGCTAGGTGTAATGATATCACGGGGGATGTTTCATATTTATGCGGGGAAAAGGATCTTACGTTTCTTAGAGTGGTCGTGACGGGTTTAGTTTTGTTCTTGATCTTCAGATGCTTGTTTGCAACTTGAAAGACGTTCTTCTGCTTTTTCCCCTTCTGTTTGTTCTTCGCCATCTTACCTGAAGGAGGAAAAATAATAGATTTAGAAGATTTAAACTTGGGTAAACATTTATTTTGTTGATTGTTTTTACTGTTTTTGGCAAGTTTTTCACCATAAACCCAAACAAAACTTATTCCTGTGTAATAATAACATGAAATGGGATAAATAGGTAAACATGAATGTTGAGCCCAACTCTCCTTGAAATAGATTTTATTTAATTGGATAGATCACCATGGCAACAGGAAGTATAATTTGTGTTTTGGCTGCTGTAGATTAAAATAATCTAAATTAATCAGTTTTTATTTTGGAGCATAAAACAGTTGATTATAGGTTTTTACAGATAAACCATTTTAAAATGCTCTAAATATCCCGTTAAAACACTCAAGAGTCACCGTTTAACTCTGATGTCATCGTACATCCAGACTTATTTTAAAACATTTCGCAGCACTAAAATACAGATGTCTCAACGAATTAAATTAAACTTACAGAACAAAACATGTCATATCCTGACTTTATGCTGTCACACAGATGGGGAAACATAAATGAAGTAAAAAAAGTGTTTTCTTCAATAACAGAAGTTATGGTGGGCTGTAGAGAAACTCAAGACATGAATTTAGTTGTATTTAATCCATCTTTGGATGCTTTCTACGCGCCTGGTCTTTGTGTCTGGGTTTCATTTACAATCATTTGTCATTTTCTGTCTATTATTCTACTTTTATTTAAGAAACACGCCACGCGTTATTATTGTTTCTAAGGAACAAGTTATTGAGTTGTCCACCTGCCAGGCTCCCACGATGTAAACAAACGCATCTACTAAATAGTTCCGTGACGTAGCAGTTTGTATTAAAAAGCTACTTAAAACCCCCAAAACAAGAAAACAGAATATACAGATCGTTTATTTTTTTAATTACCTTTCTGTCTTCGGTCATGTGCCACAAACGTCCCCAGTTTGTTTCGTCATTTACATGCGACAACTATCGTGGGGGCGGTTCAACTTCCGGTTCCCTGAGCCGCACATCCGCCATCTTGCTCAGGGTGGCTGATTAGAACTACTGCGTTGTTTTGGGTGGTGAGTCTGTAAAGGCAGGGTTTTGTGCAGCGTTCGCATAAAAATCAATTATCTACATTTTTATAAAATATTTGCACAGTTGAAATTGGAAAAAAACTGGAGCTAAAGCACTCTTTAAACTTTACTTAAAGAGAAAATACCAGAAGAGAAAATGCTTGTTGTATTTTTTATGGGTTTTTTTTTTTTGGTATGCACCTATGAGATGATGGCTTTTATTTTGTGATTTGAAAACTTTCAATAAGGAAAAGAAATTATGTATTTTCATAGTTAAAAAACAAGTATAAACAAGTTTGATTAGAATACATATTATTAAAAGTATACACATCATATTACTTACTGTTGCTTATATGCGTATGTTTAGGGTTACACCGTTTTAATGCGTGTGAAAACTCTAATTTAGCCTACTGTTTGTAGTTAGAATGGATAAATGGAAAGATGAATACCAGTGAAAACTCACTGCGTGTGCAGTTACACTTATCACCAGCAGGTGTCAGTATTGCACCATCCCAGATCACCTCTACTGCCAGCAGCGTCTTCATGCAGCAAACCTTATTATGGTATGCTGCAATGAGCAGTGGTGGCCGCTGGGTAACTATTAAATGTTTGAAGAGATTAGATTTGGGCACATACTCAACTGGAGAATTTCTCGTTGTGTCTTTAAACGCCTTGTTTTTGACACCTTTAATGCAAATTTTATTATTTGACAATGATTTATTTCAACTTATCAAATGATGTTAAGGAATGTGATTATTTGGCTGAAATGCTATTGACAGTAGGACTTCATTCTGTTCTGAGTTTTGTTGTCTAACTAGAATGCTTCACCTCAGGACGCACCTCTATAGGTTGCATCTCTTTTTTTTCTGTAATGCACCACATAGATTTATCATTTGCTGACATTTTATGTCTGTGCTAATTGGTGCCTGGCCACCTCGCGCTGCCACCGTTTTGCGTCACATTATTACGTAATATCGAGGAAAAATCCGTTGGATGGACACCGAATGTGCGCGTATCTGCAGCGTCGCCAGCCAAAGGAGCGCGCGGATGCCCCCGTGGGTTGATCGTGAGCGTCTCTGCGCATCTGAACTCCTCCCGGTCAGTTAACGCGAACATCATGTGGCCGACACCAGCCTGACAGGCGCGAGGGGACCGTATATAAGCGCTGCGGCTGTCAGGTGGAGGACACTGACTGCTCTGCGCTTTGGGAGATTACAGCTCTGCACTGATCCTTAAACATGTCTCACGATTGGGGATACGCACCGAGTAACGGTGAGGCGCTCAAGGACACGAATCAGTGCAGATATTTTATGTCATTGTTCCTTCACATTTTGGGACTGATTTTTACGCACAAACCCGCATACCCAAACGCGCTTTTAGACTGTTTTCATTGTGCGTAAACCATCTCACCTTATTGACTGATCTTTTATTATTATCATTATTATTAATTTCTATGCAGGACCCGCCAAATGGGCTCGCAGCTTCCCCATCGCAAACGGAGTCCGCCAGTCTCCCATCAACATCGTGCCAGCCGAAGCATCTTACAACGCGGCGCTGAAGCCCCTCCGCCTGCAGTACGACCCTTCCACCTGCCTCGACATCCTCAACAACGGGCATTCCATTCAAGTGACCTTCGCAGATGACACCGACAGCTCAAGTTAGTGTACAAATAATGCATGAATTTGGACTTTCACTCAGTGCCAACGGGGCTCGGTGTCTGTGATCCAATACTGGAGGGATGCTTTGAGATCTGCATGTTTAAGCTGCAGTAAACAAAAATAACGAAATGTATAGTTGTCGACAAGTAGGACTTAAAAACTTGCATTAAGAAACATGCAGGAACGTTGCAACCCTCATATAGATTTAAACGATATTTATTAAAGTAATATTAACAAAAATGCGTGTTTTGTTTGGCTTTTGTTAGATTTAGCATCTCAGATACAACTATTCCCTTCTTTGAAGTGTATTTTTAAAATAAACCCACAAACGGGGTTTATTGAAAAGGCAGCAGGAATTCTATTGAAAAGCAGAACACAAAGCTAATTGAATTGGTAATGCAACCCCATGGGGACCGTTTCCCACCACCAGTCTTTAAAGCTGCAGAGAGGTCAAAGAAACAAAAAATAGTTATTTGTACACTCCAGTTTAATGCAGAATCATTTGTTCCTTTATGTGAGTGGATTTAGCTTCTTTTTCCTTCAATCTCTGGTTACATTTTCCTGCAGGAATTAATTTCAATTCCACTGTTGCGTATTTAGGATCAGTTGTCCTCTAGCTGCTGTGGTTGCATAACCAACAAAATAAAGGATCGCAAAAGAAAGAAAAAGATTGCATGGGGGAGTTCTAGCTCTCCTCTGTTTGAGGTCATCTGCATGATATAGGCATGCGTCATGTGTATTAATATTGGAAAATGTGAATGTCCCTTTTTAAAATCACTTTTGATGTAAAATAATTCCTTTTATCAAAAGTATTTGACTATTCACTAACCACAGAGGATTACCTGCTATTGTTGGAAACTAATTATAGATGATGCATTGGAAGGAAGATAAACAACCCTTGTTTCTGAGCTTATTCTGACCTGGTCTGACATAACAGGAACTTAGATGAAGTCATTCAAGGAAGTGTGCACCGTATTTTATTTATCTTGCTCTTTATGCTCAAGGTGACATTTCCTTTGCAGGATTTTTTTTTTGCTGCACCACTGCCTGTCTGTGGCTGACTCATGCTGAGTGTCGGCACTGACTCAAGATGTTCTTGTCTTCCCTGCAGCTCTAAGAGATGGGCCGGTCACTGGGACCTACAGGCTTAAGCAGTTTCATTTTCACTGGGGGTCTGCAGATCACAAGGGGTCCGAGCATACGGTGGCTGGGACCAAATTCCCTGCTGAGGTAGGAGCAATCGGGATTAGGACATGGGGTTTGGGATTTAAGTGTAATAAAGAGAAAAATACAATATTATTTTATTGTCGTTGCTGCTACTGCTACGGCTTGTCAAGATTTCCAGGCTAGCTTTGATGCCAAAGTTGAACAAATTGTAAAACCAACCAAGACACAATCACTTTTGTGTTGAGGCAGCCATCTTTAATTGGACTGAGCCCAAAAATCCTAGATTCTAGGCTACATCCGGTGAAGAATTACTGCAAATTTGATTGAAACCTGTCTAATATTTCAAAAGACATTTTACTGAAGAACACACACTGTTTCATATATAACTGACACATTTCTAAACTATGGATCTTCTTCATGTTCAGCTCCACCTGGTGCACTGGAACACCAAGTATGCAAGCTTTAGTGAGGCTGCCAGTAAACCTGATGGGCTCGCTGTGGTCGGCGTCTTCCTGAAGGTGTGCAGTTATACTCGGGGTGGCATCAAAACATAAAAACACTCTCATCTAATTACGTTTTCATTTGTTTCAGATTGGTGGTAAAAATGCAAATCTGCAGAAGCTTCTGGATTCATTTGATGCGATCAAAACCAAAGTATGCCCCCATATCAACAACATTCCTTTGTGCAGTTTGAGACTATTTAATAACATTTTAACGTTTATAAATTTTTATTTTCAGGGGAAGCAGACTTCTTTAGCTAACTTCGACCCTGCTACATTGCTACCTGCATGCCTTGACTACTGGACCTATGACGGCTCTCTGACCACACCCCCTTTGCTAGAGAGCGTTACCTGGATAGTCCTCAGAGATCCAATCAGTGTCAGCCCTGAGCAGGTACATACTCTACAGAACCTGTTCTTTCTAGCAGGCAATGGCCAAGTTCCCAGTGTCTAGAGTAGCTCCACACGCAAATTTTTATCACTGGTCTCATTGGCTAACATCCCTGCTGAAGAAGCCTCTTGTCCCTAAAGGAAACACGTTACAGTCCTATGTCTTACTTTAAATGATAGGGAAGAGATGGCCATGCAAGAGAACGAGGCCAGACACGAGTAGGCGTTCATGCTGTTCCGAGTCAGCAGGAAATCTTCAACCCACACGTGCATCAAAGTAGTTAAGGCACTCTGCTGCAGTCATTATGAGACTCTGCAGCTTTCAGAGTTAACACATTATATCTGCACCTGTCTTCATGCATAGAACTACAACAGTATAGTGCATGTCAACAGATTGAAGCCTCAACTCTGCATGCTCAAATCTTTTTTTATGGCTGTGAGGGAAAACTCAACAATTCGGAGGTGCAGAAGTAACCTTTGGACTTGGTTCCATATCCGGCAGAACCAGCAGTTACAGGCTAAGAAATGATTACCCAAATGATTATTCATCAATTATTTATGAGGGAGTTCAGCCGTCTGCTCAGTCACTGGGTCAAAACTTCAAAGAGAAGCTTAAAGAAGTTACGTTAAGACCAGGGCCGCCCGGATGTGCTTCAACTAGTGGCAACAAAATAATGAAACAAAAAAAAAATAATAACGTTTCCACCGTTATGTTATCTGGTATCTGGTATCTGGTACATTCACCCTTTTCTGTTAGAAGGAAAATACACTCCTAAATAGCAGGTTCACTGAGAAACCGTTTCTTATTTGTTCTTTTTGAAAAACAATCGGTCACTCCGACTTTCACACGCAGGTTGAACTTGAAAATGGTCTTCTACCCCTTTTTCCTTCGTTAGCCATCGATAGAAATAAGTCGGGGAGGCACTCGGGTCAGAAAATGCCACACAGATCTACGTCACGTTGAAAAATTAGCTTTCACGGACTCAACCATCTTGGCTTGTGACCGGGGAAGGCTGTGTTGATTTTTGCAGCCAGGAGAGAGCAGAGCGCATCTTGGCTAGTTGAAGCTAACTACTAGCATTAACAACTCTACAGCATGGCAGAACTCCTTCAGGCTTGTGTTATTTCTGGAGATAAAACATTACAGAGCGAACAGAGGCAGCGGAAGAGTTGTGTTGCTGTTAGCCAATCGGATGCGGGATTTTCAGACATCATGAATGATAATGAGATTCCAAATCCTGACATTGTCTCCTCTTCTCGAGCTAACTTCTACTTCCTGAACCAGGAGCACCAGAGCTTTTATTTTTTACACAGAAAACGACTCACAAGGCGTTCATTTATACTAGAGACCAGAGCAAATGTGTAGAAAAACCAGTGATTTGTGTTTCATGAGGGACCATCAGCGAGGCTCGCTCTGATGACAGTCCTCTCCTCTCGTTTCACAGATGGCTAAGTTCCGCAGCCTCCTCTTCTCTGCTGAGGGCGAGGCCAAATGCTGCATGGTGGACAACTACCGCCCTCCCCAGCCTCTCAAGAGTCGCCGTGTCCATGCTAACTTCCAGAAGTGACCCATCCCCCTCGTTTGACCTTTCTGCCCGCTTGCCCTCTCCTTCCCTTCCCCCTTGTATTCACCCCTCCTGCAGCAAAACAAAAAGCAATTCTCTCTTCTCCATTTTTTGTTGAGATTATGCCAACTGTTCAAAGCCACTGAATACAGGGCAGTTTAATGGTGCAGGGATTTTATCTTTTGTGTAAAATATATTAACTGCGGCTGCGAAGTGGCGCGGCGGTTAGAGCAAGCTGTTGCCTTGCAGCAAGAAGGTCATGGGTTCGCTTCCCGGCCTGGGCTCTTTCTGCATGGAGTTTGCATGTTCTCCCTGTGCATGCGTGGGTTCTCTCCGGGTACTCCGGCTTCCTCCCACAGTCCAAAAACATGACTGTTAGGTTGATTGGTCCGTCTAAATTGTCCTTAGGTGTGTGTGTGTGTGTGCATGACTGTTTGTCCTGTGTGTCTCTGTGTTGCCCTGCGATGGACTGGCTCTCTGTCCAGGGTGTACCCCACCTGACTGCCCATTGACCGCTGGAGATAGGCACCAGCCCCCTGCAACCCTACGTGGACAAAGCGGATTCAGACAATGGATGGATGGATATTAACCGCATAAAACATGTCATAATTTATTTTAAGGCAAATATTTAATCATGGCAGTGACATTTTCATACATCTTCATCTGGTCTCATGTTTTTACTTCACTGTGTCACCTGACAAGCAATAAAATAAGGATGAATGAGACCTAACAGGAAGTACAACCAGGATCGTTGTAGAATAACGGCTGAGGATTAAACTATATTCCCATCTGCGAGGGGTAGTAAGGTGCCAATAGTGGACACACAGGACCGTCCTGCTGCCAGTCTTTCTGTAATCTCTGACCGACTACCAGCCTCTGCACCGCAGCAGCTTAATGAAATGCCGCAGCCGCCTCCATTGCAAGTGATTGACTCGAAATCCCGCTTCAACACACATCCGCACAGCATTGCACGTGCAGACGTGGCGCCCCCAGGCTCTGACCCGATCATTGATCCAAACTGCACAACAAGGGCATCAGGACAGCCAGCACCATGACAGTGACTTACACCTCTTGTTTATGCAGTTTAATCTTTGTTATTATTATAGATTGCCTTTTAAAACATGAGAGCTAATCTGAATTATGTCTTCAGTGATTCCTAAATGATCCAAAAGCTCCCATTCCTTTCAGTTCCTGGTTGGATAGAAGTAGGGAATGAAATTAGATGAAATATGTAAATTATATTATGTTGGGTGCTGAAGCTTAAAAAAGCACATTTCTATGGGCTAAAGCACGGAGCCAAGGGAGAAAGGACCTTAGCCATGCAAGAAAATAAACCTGCCTGTAGATTATAAGTATAGATATGACTATAAACAGATTACAGATTAAGAAAATGAATGAAGAATATTAAGCAATGCCTTTTGCAAATGAATATTAGGTCTGTTTTAGGAGTTTGTTGTAGTTCTATTTTGCAAGGTGGATATTTACTAGTGGAATAAATATATTTTATGATTAACTGCTGTTGTGTCTTTTGTGTCTGTTCTTGTTTTCCTTTTTTATTTAGGAATTGGCATGACAAAAATAAACAGATTCTCCTTTAAATTCTTAGATTTTTACCTGAAATCCAACCCGGAGCACAAATACGGGTCAGTAATCTACGCTTTGGTTATATTTCAAGCTACTGGCTAACACTGAGCAGCGCTCCATTCAAATTGCATGGAGCTCTGTGAGACGGGGGATGGGCTCGACAAAGAAAAGAAATTCCTACATTGAATCTCAGTAGAGTGTACTGTCACTTTTACAGATTTCTAAATAATCATTTATAATTCCTGAAAAGGGGAAAACTCCTGATTGTAGCTTTAAATTCATCAAAGGGACTTTACGGAGTTTTGAATTTTTATGCTCGCGGTTGCCCCCTCAGGCCAAAAGAGTAACGGCAGCTTCAATAGTAGGCTCGTGCACGAGGCGCGCATGCTGTACGTGCACACTCCTTAACGAAAATAACAGCTGAGACAGTCGTGTGTGTGTGTGTGTGTGTGTGTGTGTGTGTGTGTGTGTGTGTGTGTGTGTGTGTGTGTGTGTGTGTGTGTGTGTGTGTGTGTGTGTGTGTGTGTGTGTGTGTGTGTGTGTGTGGGTGGGTGGCCCGGAGGACAGAGGACAGGAGAACACGCAGCTAATTAAATAATTTGGTTCTGTACCTTTCTCTTCAGCACAGCCGACAAAGGTTTATGATGGGTCAGTCCTCCTGCATGCTCAGATCATTCCCTTCCCTTGCTTGAAAAATTGTTCCAAAATGAAAGTTGAACCCACATCTTTTTTATCCGTGAATTCAATGCCGTTCGGCGAGTCTCATATAAAAATTTGGGCATCTTACTGTAAAAAAATATATCATTAATGTAAAAAAGAAACTCTAAATAGACTATGTTCACATCCAGAATCAAACCTGGGTCTTCTGCGCGGGAGTTCGCCGTCTTACAAGGTGAGCTAAAGCACCAGTGATGTCCTTTGTACCTGTAACATTTATATCCTTGATGACAGCTGAAACCGTTCAAAGAACGGTTCGGAGCGAAAATGGGTATTTTGTTGCTAATTTGCAGGAAATATCTAGAACAGGGGTGTCAAACTCATTTTAGCTCAGGGGCCACATTGAGGGAAATCTAGTTCCAAGTGGGCCGGACCAGTAAATTAAAAAAAAACTTCAGATTGTTTTCTTTGTTTGATTCAAGTTCTTGTGTGAGCCTTGAGCGCAGCTTTGTTTTATTTATACTCATTACAGAGGAAACTTGCTCACAAAGATACGTTTATTTTCACTCTACATTGTTAAGTATGAAAATAAAGTTTACACAACCATCTCGCGGGCCGGATTTAAACCGCTTGCGGGCCGGATTCGGCCCGCGGGCCGCATATTTGACACCCCTGATCTAGAAGAAAGTTTTACAGAAAGTAGCTAAGGGTCCTCAGAAATGTAGCTAGGTGCATCACTAGGCGTTAGGAACAGCGACAAAGTCATTGAGTTGGCACTGCCTCTCTCTCTGCTGCTAAAGCTACTGATAGCAAATGCTACGGGCGATGTCTGAGCGTGAACGCGCATGAAGCAGCCTGCTCGACCCGAGCATCTCTCTTTTTCTGTGATTTTACAGAAAAACAAGCAATCACAGTTAAAATGCCAGGGCTCATTCTACAGGACCAGGGCATTGCAGGAGAATGTATGAAGAAGAAAATTATTATTGCCATACATGTTTTGGCTGTCAAACTTCCATAATGTCCCTTTTAAGTCTTTCAAGAAGATGTGAACCAACATGTGGTCTACCAAGCAACCGACCACCCAGTTAAAGGGTTGAGAATGGTTTTGTTTCTTTCATTTGATCACTGGAATCTCTAAAGTTCAAAACTAACTGGTCATTCGCGCTTTTATCTTGTTTGCTTATGCATACATACATCAGTTACAACTCGTTGGACCGTCTCCAACAAGTGCTACTGCAACACTTTCCTCTCAGAGCTGTCACGTCACACCTTTTATGATCCCTCTGCATTGCCTCTTTGCTCAAAGGGTCCAAATGGAAACCGTGCAAATCCTAAAATCTGTAACGGTTGCACTGAAGTCACATTCAGACAACACTGGAGTGAGTGCAAACAGAAATAAGAGCTATGATCCAATATCATGATGCAAACACGAGCAAGGGTCACTCACATGAAGGCAGAAGTTTAAATACTAAGCAGGAGGATGGTGAAAGCTAGTGGATTGGAGTTCAGAAAACAGCAGAGCTGTGGAGATCTGTCGTGGGCGAGGAAGGAATATTCCAGGAACATAAACTTGGATGTGAGTTTGGAGGCTGAAGGCTGTCATGGCAGGGGAACTGAGCCTGAGCTCAGGCAGTGCTGCACACAGGTGAGACAGGAGGACAATCAGACATGCCTCAGGTGGGCTGAAGCTGATTGGAGATGAGGATGTGCAGGATGAATGTCAGGGGAGCTGAGGGAACATAAAAAATCAGCAGATCGTGACAAAATCTTCACCACAGTAGGAAAATGCATCCTTGATTTTTGTTTGCTCGTGAAACCAGAGTCTCAACTCATCCCTGCAGCTGCAGTACACATTTAAAACTGTTAAAAAAGTCCTTCCACCATTCCTCTGTGGTTTTGTCTTTCATCTATGTGGGGACTACTGTGTTGGCTTACAGGAGATTTAATTAAGCCAATGGTATTTCACACTCTAGAAGCACAAGCGCTACTTGACTTCCCGCCTCTCTTGCAAACGCTCAACAAGAAGACGAGCTCCTGGAAGTTTCTGTGCCAGGAGTTTTTTCTGCTTCCCAACAGGGTGCCTAATTCACACCCTGCTCAGAATAGAGCTGGACTTTAGGCTCCTGTTGGACCCTCGATACAACGTGTCCTCCTAAAATATCAATGCTATCAGGAGCTATTGGCCTCCGTAGGGTCTCTCCAATCAATAATCAATATGGTACAGAACAAAGAAAGGCTGTGAGATGCGTTTGCTCAGAGCCATGTGTGATTTGTCGTGGTGCTATGTGAACAGTTCATGAACACTGACATCAGGGAGAGTCCATAGTGTCCCAAACTGGTGGTTCCTGGGTTACCAGTTTTATCTGTGAAGGAAATTTGATCAAAACAAAACACGTGGAACGAGCAACTGTCTAGTTTGTTGTTAAAAGGAACATTTTATTATCAGAGGCGGTTTGTCAACCGTCTAAAATCGTATCTTCCGTTTACCTGGAAGCGGATCTTCCAGCTTTGCCCCCGCCGCGAGTCACCCGTGTAAAAACTTGTAGGTGCACACCTGGGATTGGCTCTCCCAAGTCAACTCGGTTATTAGTCACCCGCCTAATCACTTTTATTTTTTAACCTGGAACTGGCTCTCCCATCTTTGCTCTGGCCCCTCATCACCCGTCTTTTGTTAGTATACCTGGAACTGGTTCAGCTTTGCTCTGGGCACACGTCACCCACTTAAAAAACTGGTTTTCCGAGTACCTGGAATCGACTGCCAACTCGGCTCTGCATTTTCGTCACTCGCCTAAAACTGTTTGTTTGCGTGGAATCGGCTCTCTCAGCTCGGACCTGGCACTCCTGCTGCACCTGTCCAACAGTCCCAAGACTAGGAAAACAAAATAAATTTGAGGCAACAGCCGTTATTTTTGAATCAGAATTCTCATCAGTCTCCCCGTGTGTCCCATAAGAGGCCATAAATCTAAAAAAGTAATGGAGTAGGGTTTGCCGACATGACTTACCTCCATCACACAATCAATCACTCTGAGTTTCACACGCACGCTGAATGTGAAAAGCTTCTTGAACCCCACCCCCTAACCATTAGTCACCTAAATGAAACAGACAGGAATATAATAAAGTCAGAAAAGACTTCCAACAAATTTTATGTTTTCTAACACTACAGCAGTATGCTCAGGGATGAATATTACAGTGTTTGCAACAGAATTATTCAAATTCATGTTGATTTAATTATAAGTAAACCTTTTATTGCTGCTGATGTCACATTTTTTCATGCACCAGGCAGCCACATTGGACAACATTATACCATTTGATAAAAACTACATTTGATCCACAAGTTCTTGAGAGCAACTAATAAAGACCAGACACACACCTTAGTGCGTGCACCATCCAGAGTCGATGCCATTGTAACATTTACAGTCTGTTCCAGCAAACGTCAGTGAAAGCACACTGGGAGTGCCGATTCTGGTTTGACGGCAGTTTGTCATAATTTGGCGCACAGCGTGTGAAACATTCCCCCAACAGGCCTCAGATCAGTGCAACTCATAGCATCTGTTACAGCTAGAGCCTCGAAGTGCTTACTTGTCGTTTTTACGATTAGAGGTTGAGAATGTGCCTCAGCTGTTCTGAGAAAATACCTGAGTGTGAACTTCTGTGGGATTAACAGCTGAAGCATGGACGTAATTTTGGGGGGGACAGGGGGGACATGTCCCCCCCACTCTTTCCAAAGTCAAGTTTTGACCCCTGCACTTTTTACCATCCAAAAACAATATTACGCTATATCCCACCCACCACCCACCCCCACCCCCCGTGTCCCCTCCCACTTCTAAAGTGAAAATTACGTCCTTGAGCTGAAGTCTGACCTCAAGACAGTTTGCAGTCCCGCTTCTTTTATGAAACAAATGATTGGTCATTTGAAATTTAACTAAATATCTTTAGAGGAATTACTAAAACACAATTAAGCAAATCCCTAAAAATATTGAACTGTTTCAAATTTCACAGGGCAGGGGAAGGGCTTTGCACACAAAAAAGACGTGGTGGCTACATCCTATCACAGTACAGTGATACAGTAAAAGTGCTTCTTCATAATATGTTTATGGTGTTCATATAGCAGAGAATGGAGTACGCGGGTAAAAGCCAAAGATACATGGAGAGAACACACTAACTCCACAGAGAAAAACTGCTGTCGGGCATTGGACCTACAACCTTTTGCTGTGAGGCACCAGCATGAAAACATTATCGAGGCGGATTAATCAAAAACAGATTTAAAAACAAAACACCAGATTCTATAAATCTCAGAAAGATTATTCCAATAATCATTGTATTGTTTTAATCTGGGCAGGACCTCAGGGACCTGCTGGAGATTACGGAAAGTTCACTAATCTAACCTGATGCTCTCCATGTCAGAGCAAAAACACACTCAACACCCAACCTGGAGCCAGTGTAAATGAGCCCTCTTAAATCAGGGTCAGGCTCATGGTGCAACACACGGCTCTGTTGTGACGACTCATGAACGCTCCACTGACACCGACACACCCGGCTCAGCAGCTGACTAGGAACTAATCATTCCTGTCACAGCAGATAAGGAGGGGTGTGCGCTCTGAGTCGGGACTCACTCTGCCTGTTGGTTCACCTATGAACTATAAGACCTAAAAGGTGTTCGTCTGCAGCTTTGACTTAAGAGTAAACCTGAGGACATGCAGATTTAGAACAGGGCAGCCAACTTTTGAACATTTCAGAGTGAGACGGGGTCATGGGGTTGAGAGTGGACAATTCTTACGTTGTATGTGTATGTGTGAGCATGAGGGAGGGAGTGTGTGACTGTGTTTGTGTATGACTGTATATGTCAGGTGGGGCCTTTGACTCCTCCCTTCTCCTGGGACTTCTTTTGATGCTATACAGTACATCTTCGCCTCCCCTCCCCCTGCCATACCTGGTGTGGAGTGCAGTGCCTTGGTCTGCCTGAGTGTTCCTGGCTCCCGGGTCCGGGGGCTTTAAGATTTTTGGCGTCTGCTCGATTAATCCCAGTGGCTGCCTGGTGGGATCTAAGTCCCTGGGCTCTGCTGGGTCCCCGGTGGGGCTGGTCGCCCCTGGGTCCCGGGCTCGGCCGGCTGGGGGGTGGGAGGCTGCAGGTGGGCCTGTGGGCTTGCCGCCGATTTCTCCCGGGACTCTGCCGGTGTCGGCACAGGATCTGCTCGGGTGCAGGATTGGCTCGGGGTCCTTCGACTGCCAATGACGTCAAAGTAGTTGATTGGCTGAACATGAACCTTACGGGAGTTACGTAATCACGTTACGTTGTTATCACGTTATGTTGGTCCAGGCAAATCTTTCTGTTGGAAAGATGGACAACTTTTACAAAGAAATCCATCATTACTTCTTTGAAAATACACTTTTAGCGTAGAGCTGCATGTATATTAGGGCTGAACGATTAACTGCATGTGCAATTAAATTGCGATGTGACAAAAGGAGATTTTCTAATCGCAAAGGCTGCAATTTGGCAGCGAGTGGTTAGCGCAATGCTAACATACATGGAAAAACCCATAGAAATGCTAATGCTAATATCACTGATTACATTATTACAAATTATGAATTAGAAACGTGCCAAATGATTACATTTGGAGTATAATAGAAAGTTAAACTACCATCATTCAAATAAGTACAGACAGGTATTTTAGTAAAGCCAGAAAACTTTTAACTCCAGAGTTTTGGCTAGCAGCTATGAGCGTAACTGAACTACGCATGGACAAGACGTCAAAAACTCTAAACACAAAATACTTCAATAAACGGGACACACTTCTTTCCTGCAAATTCAATTTCACAGGTGTTGCTAATACCTATGATCCTTCTAGGGATGTGCTCAAAGAGGAGTTCAACATTATGAATACAATATAGTGTTTTATTTTACAAATACCATTATAAACACAAACTTACATCGTAAGAAACATTATTTTAATAACGAAACTGCTAAATTATTTCCAACAGTATAGATGTGTAGTGTATTTTGTCCAAGTGGGTTTGCCGTACTTTGACGTCATCGACAGTTGAAGGACCCCAAGCTGATCTTGCACCCGAGCAGATCCTGTACCGACACCGGCTGCTGGGGGTGGCCCCCCGGGGCAATCCTCTGAGCCTCTCGAGGGGGGCAGGGGCTTTTCTGGTTACAATCTCCTTGGGGTTCCTGTGCTCTGGGGCAGCTCCTGGATCTCTGAGACTTGGAGCTCCTTCCATCTCCTTCTCATATTTGGGGGGCAGATCTGTGGCCCCTCACACTCTCTATTGGTCGCTCCTATAGAGAAACCTTACATAAACAAGCGTGTGTACACACACAGGTGCTCTTATGGTG